CTCACTTGAGTGTAATCTCATTACACATCCATTCAACTAGAGATTAACAAATCAGCAACTAAGAGGAACAGCTCCATTCACCATTTAACAAGTTTACCTCAATACCAACACCCTCTCCCCCAGCTGCACGAAGTTAATGAATCAAGATATGTATGATAACCTATCTCTTACCTGATGCACAAGTGAATGCACACACGTGTATACCTATCCAATCTAATGTAAGTAAACATCAATCTCCCTCATAAAGAAGAGAAGGAAGATACAATGCGTTCAGTATTTCTAAACTCTCCCCAAAGGAGAGGCTGTTTGCCTCTTGAGAACAGGTGTAATTTTAGGTCCCTCAAACTGTCACTTTTCCTTTTTCATTCAAATCACCAAAGTGACTGTACATCTGGATTAGGAATTCTACCGCCAGCCAAGGGCATTACAGCAGATGGCATTCTAACACCTTCAGATGAACCATGCGCAGCCCATTCCCCTTGGCTGAAGGACACAATCAAAACCAAGGATCAGAAAATCATCACTAATCATCAAACAATAAGGTGTTAGACAACTATTGCATACATCATATGGTACCAAAGTAGATCAAACAAGAACAAAGGCCCCAAGCAATACATGGTTAATTTCTAAAGAAAACGCGGAAATTGCCAAATGCTAGTAGCTTGCATGGACATGACCATTTCAGCATCAGATCCAGGACAAAATAAAGGGTGATATTGAGGATTAAGATGCATAGGGAGAAGGTAAATAATAAGAGAAAAACAAAGTTTTCAACTAAGTTTTTCCAAGTCAGACCACTCCTAGAATACAAATAGTTATTTTTCCAGAAATTTCCGGCAGGTGCAATTACCCCTCCTTCACAGCTCAATGATTCAAATTTAAAAATAATGGTATCTTATTTACAACAATCAGATGTTTACAACAAAGAAGAAGCCATCATCTACAAAAGTGTTGTTTGCCTCATATAAATAACCAATTGCCAACAAACTATAAAAGAGGTAGTGTTATACTCACTTGGCCCAAGCTCCAGGGGACAGCTCAAATGAGTGGTCAGTAGCAGATCCTCCAGGACTCCCATACACAATTTCATTCTGGCTACTTTCCTCTAGTTTGAGAGGGAGGCGGCTATTGCTGCTAGACACGGTGGGAAGAATGCATTCTGCAACCACGGATCATGCTCACTTGAAGTAGCAACAGGACTGAATTTCCCTCCATTCCGACCATTGCCAGGGAAAGCCTTCCCAGGAGATTGTGCATTTGGAAGCAGTGGATCCTCATTTGTAAATAGAGACACCATATTTTTTTGAGCAGGTTGGTGTACAAAATCTTCCTTGTTCGATCTGTTCTGTCCTGCAGGTAAAAGCCAGCTTGCTTGACCACCCACCAAGCCAAGACTGTCCTGACCAAGTGGAGAACTGCTCCACATCTGCCATGTCCCCTTCTCATTTACGTTGGAATCATCCACAGGAAAAACATGCACATCTTGGCTCTTCGGGGTACCTGAAAACCAATTAGGACTATTATGCTTCTCATCAGCAGTGCGTAATCGTGACAATGGAGACTCAATCGGTGATGGCTTGCTGATTTCAGAAGCAGCAGAAACATTCTTCAGACCAAGAGGCCTTTCTAGTCCCATGTTTGCCCCAAAACCAGCCCCCAAGTCCAACTGAAAATTGTCAAGTGACTCTGAAACAGGTCCCAGTAAGGACACTGGATCAGGAACATAACAGGGGTCTTCAAAAAGCTCAGGCTCTTCAGGTATAAATTCATGAGACCCTTCTGCAACACGGGGAAAAATGGGTTCAATCACAGGTGAGAAACCTAAAGTACTGCTGATGGACCCACTTGAGTGGGTAGATAAAGTAAATGGAGATGGCAGCCCAAAATTGATTGGATTATCAAATGTTTGCATCGATGACACATGACCCGGTAGTTTTGAACCCTGCGCATCTGCTTGAACCTTAGAATTTGGTCTACTAATAACATTTACATTAGAGGATGCAGGAATAGATGATGAGCGGGTAAATAGCTGTTGCCACGACTTTTTAGGTGCGGCCCTTGGTTGAGGCTCAGAGAGCACCTGCAGTGAAAAGCTCAATGTTGTAACACTGTTTTACTTCTCCAGAATACTCTTCTATTATAAAACAAAAAATTCTTAGGAAACCATCAACCTCAAACTAGCATTTGGATATATAGCTTCACGACCCAAAAAGAAAAATCTATGTGAAAATGAGGCCAGAGGACAAGAATAATAGCAAAGAGAAATAACATACAACATAAAATCTGCTGTTAAACCAGATTTAACCAGATTTTGAAAATAATAAAAAAGAATATCCATTTGAAACATAATTCAAATTTGGCAGAAACAGCTCCACATTCAAGCAAAATGCTGATCTGATATTATAAGTGAACCAAAAAAAAAGAGCCAGATGCACATACGAACAGTAGGAAGTCTAAAGGTTCCATTAGCATTTTAAACAAGAAAAACAAGTGAAATTAGTAGCAAGAAGACTTACAGGACGACTGACATTCTTGTCATCTCCATTCATAAATGATTTTCCAGGTACACGATCATGTGGAAACTGATCTCTTCTCTGTATAGAAGTATGGGTATGATCTACAGAACTGTTGGACTTGTTTTCTTTTGTAACAGTAATAGGAGTGTTAACACCCTTTCCAAAGAAACTACCTCCACCAAAAGCCTTAGAAGACGACAAAAATGTACCCCTCATACGATCAAGGTACCTATTGGTAGTATTTCCCTTACTAACATTAATTGTAGAACTGTTCTTCATTCCATGACCATGTCCAACTTCCGTGCACTGGACTTTGGCATGATCAGCCCCATGTTTTTGTTCTCGACGATCCATCTCATTCTTCTTGTCAAGCTCACGCTTCCGATCAGTTTCCTTGCCTGCTCTCTTTTCAAGCTCCTCAACATCAGAATTGCTCTTACTAGAACCCTTGTCTTTCTCTTTTCTTCTTTCTTGACGCCTTTTTTCAGCTTCCTTCTTGCTATCTTTCTCTTTGGCAGGTGGTGATGATTTACTACGATCCTTTTCAGCTTCCATCTTTTCATCCCTCAATCTTCTCCGTTCCTCCACCAACCTTGCAACCTCCTCTCTTTGCTTTTTTTCTTCCTCCTCCAAAAGCTCTTTCTCCAACCTAGCCTGTCTCTTCTCCTCAGCTTTTCTGCGTGCTTTCTCACCTCTACTTTCATGAAAATTTGCTCCATTCTCACCTCTTTTAGTCAGGATCCCCCTCTGCCCTGCGTCAGATGAAGATTCATCCCCTGATGAACTGACCCTAAAAATCTTTCTCCAAAGCCACCTAATACTGAAGAAAAATGATGTCAGCAGCTTACATGCAAAAATTACAACACCAGAATAAGATTTCTCAGCCAAACAATGGTCATCTCCTCCAAAAATCCCATTCCTTCTCAAGTAACTAGACTTCCCTGAAATAGGCCCACCAACCCAGTTGCCATTTTCCAACCAATCCTGCCCGCATGTCCACCCATTCTCAGTCCAACCTTTTCCATTAAATATCCTTCCACCCTTCCCAACAAGATCTTTGATAATTCCAGAATTCGAAATTCCCAACCCAGGTGGCACAGGCAAGTCCAAAACCGGTCTCTTGGAAATGTGTCCACAATAGGAGCACATGAACCTACCCCCACCTGGATTCTGATCCCTATAGGGAGTTAAGCAGTTACGGCAACGCCGTGTAGCTGTTTTCCGAAGCTTCTGCAATTCAATAGCTTCAAACCTCTTTCTCTCCCTAAGACGGGCATTTCTCCGCGCCCGCCAAGTTGATAGCTGAGGCATCAAAATCTCGTACCAGAAAAGAGTAACCAAAAGCACAAAAACACAAGCCAATCTTGGAGAGGTAATCTCAAATCTAAAAGCTGGTGGCAGAAGTTGAGAGAGAGCCCATAGTCCTATAAGAGGAATAACTAACCAAGGCAGCATCGTAGCAACCCGGCGAGACCACTTTTGAATCACACACAATATACACATTATCCTCTAACCCCACCTATCTTTCCCGTATCAAATCGAGCCAAGAAAACCCTAGAATTGAACAAACTTCCAAATTCCCTCGGCAGGCAATGCTCCAAATAGAAAACCCTAACCCTAAACTGTAGTCCAAATTGGAAAACCAAGGAACCGGTCCGTCGCAGCTTCAAGAACCCTAAACAGGGATAAAAAGTCTCAAATCTCTCAAAAATACAAGAAAATACCTAATGCACGGAAAACATTTTAATCAATTGAAAAATATCAAGCATGCAAAGAAAATGCATCGATCAGGGCTTCAAAGAAAAAAGAAGATGGTGCTTTAAGAAGCTGCGATTGCAGCCAGGTCGAATGTCAATCGAAATGAGACAGGGATTTAGGGACTTACAGATTGGGAGCCCATTGGGCAGAAAACCGCAACGGCAAACCGTAGTAGCTGAATACCGGCGTTTCGGGTCTGAAGTTGGATTGCTGCCGGCCTAATCGGGTCGAATTGGGTGTGGCACCGTCCGTTCTTACCAGCGAAGGAACTGTAGAAAGAAGAACGTGAAAATAAAGGAATAGATAGACAAGAGAGATGAAGAAGAAAACCCAAAGAATATTGCGGAAGACCAATTATATAACAAATGGTTGACCCGGTACAGACCGGTACGGCATGAACCGGGGTGCTGTAATAGTCGGTCCATTCAATTTTACAAAGTCATTGTCTGCTAATGTATTTGACGACAGTAATGTTGCTACTAAATTTTTATTTGGTGTTATGGATTATAATTTTCATAAAATTTTTAAATAATTACATAATTTAACATAACATTCATTTGATTTTCAATAAAAAAAATCTTAATCTTTTTAATTTTAATATAATTCTTAATTACAATAGTTGATTTTTAATCATATATTTTAATTTTAAAAAATTTAAACTAAAACATTTAATAAAATGTTCTATCTATACAAAATTTAGCAAATCCTTAACATATATATTAGATTAATTAAACTTACCTAGGAGTATAGCCTTTATAAACATATATTTATTATATTGATCAACCTTACCTAATTATATCTTAATTTGGATAAAATATAATCAACTCTAACTTACATCTAAAAAATAGAAAGTAAAGTTATGCTATTTATGTAAATATAAGCTTTTCACAAACTTTATCTTATACAAAAATAACCAAATTATAAACAAATAGTTAAAACATTATGCTAAACTTAATTTTCATTATATATATTACAAGATTAGTTCACATACTAGTACAAAATTAATCAAAAAATGTGTTGATAAAATTGTTTCAAGTATTATAATCAAATTGAAACATGTGTTTTGGATATTATATATGTTATCGTTAATTTATAATACATATTTTTATTATATATTATTTTTAAAAATAATATATTAAAAAAGTCATTGTACTATTCAAAAAATTTGGAATAAGTCATATTTTTTACATCAAATATAGTACTTTTATAACGGCTCCAGAAATTTAAATGAAAATGTATGTATAAAAAAAATATTAAATGCGGAAGCGAAATAAAAATTTTGATTAACATCCCTTACACAATAATAAAAAACGTATTAAACGTATGAAAGAATAAACTGATTAAAAGAAATACTCGAAATAAAAACTATAAATAGAACTATGAAGTCTCTAAACGTCTAACTCGCCGTCTTCCTATAGAAAGGGCTCGAGAACCACATCTTCCTGATATGAAATTGTTAAATAATGAATGAGCTATACTAGCCCAGTAAAGACATCACACTATCTCACTGTCACAGAAGTAAAGGTTGGTAGAAAACAAAAACGACCAATTGAGCATAATTATTAACAAACTCATTTATCAACAATAAAAACTTTTACTGTCCACTTACCTCGGTGAGATTCATGAAAATATCATATGGAAACAATAACATTATAACCATCATAAAATCATATACGCTTTGTAACATAACACATGTTATACTTTGTACTTCAATAATCAAACAACAAATTTCCTCTTTTACCAGCCTACTAATATCCATGGGGATCCATAAGGGGTACCCGTTACACGTGAACCATTAACATTAATAAGCTGATTCCAGGGCCGTCTCTATATCTCGTCCGGTATGGGCGCCAAAACCATAAACCTCAATACCCCGTCCGGTATGAGGGTGAAACGGGCCGTCCCCATACTCCGTCCGGTATGGGCACCAAAACACATAAGGTCTCCATACCTCGTCCGATATGAGAGACCACGTTCCCGATAGGGTCTACCTACGAATCCGGTCTGTCGACCATCTCCCAGAATATCTAGTCAGGCTGTCCACATTATCCATTTATCAATTCACATAACATTTTTCCCATTTTTCTTGGTATCAATCACCCAATCATACACAAACACGTAAACCAATAATGAACACCAAACAAAAAAACACAACATCGGGTTCACCATAATTCAAACCATAATAAAAAAAAACATGATTCATGCATACGTAACCATGAAATAGATACATCAGATACCATACTGCATTTAAAACTGAAAAACAGATCAAACAACAACTGACCGAAAGTACATCAGATTCGGCTCCATTAGTAACCTTAATTAATTATACACATGTATTAATTCATGAAATGTTGTTTTATTATTTATTGAGCTTTAATACCGTGATAGAAAATAGGGTGAGAAATCCTTACTTATTTTGGGGTCTGAAATTGACTCTACAGTGCGCCTACGGGCTGTCCCTAAATTCCCTGAATTTTCTCGGAGAAACTGAAACGCACTACCGGTACCTGCACGTGTTCCAAAAACCCCAAATCAAACCCAATGCCCCTTTTCGGCCAATATTAAAATTCTAACACGGCGGCTCCGCCGTGCTCCGGCAATGGCACCGCCGCCCGCGGCGGCGATCCGCCTCAGGTTGGCCGTTTTCGGTCATTTTCGGCCGAATTCGGCCAAACTTACATTGGTTCCTGCGATAAAACAACCCTAGGGCCCTCGGTGGGCCAAAAAATCACGAAAAACCGAGACTTACCGGCGGCGGAGCTCCTGGGTGCGGCGGCTTCTCCGGCGCGAGTCGTGGTTTGATGTTTTGCTCCGGTAAACCTGTAGAGAAAAGGACAGTGATCACAGTGGTATAAAAATTGCATCGAACGGGAACCGGGAAGGGCCTCATCGGAGGCAAAAATTGAGGGAAGCCGCGGCGGCGGCGTTGGACTTCGGTGGTGTTTTTCGGTCGATTAGCAGGTGGTTTGGCTCCGATTTAGCCATAGGCGGATTCAACATCGAAAAACGAGCCAAAGGGAGAAAATTTACCTCATTTGGCGGTCGGAAAACCCTCCGGTGCGGCGGCGGGTGGCGGCGGCCGGCTCCTCCGAGGTCTGGTTCTTCTTCTCCGGCAAGGCATTGACGGCTAGGGTTTGGGGTCGGGTGTGGGTGAGGTTATTTATAACTTTCTCCTTTTAATCTCAGTCATCCATCGCGTTTTAATTTGAGTCGTCCGATCGCGATTAAAATGGGAATAAATCTGGACCGTCCATCGCGATGCAATCTGGGCCGTCTGTGAGTGTGAGATCTAGGTCGTCCGCACGCGTGAGATCTGGACTGTTCGATTGAGTGCACGCGAATCGCTCATGCGGCTCCGTCCGCGTGGTCTCTCGCGTCAGCTTCCTTGCCACACGGCGTGTTCTTGTTGGCCAGGGCTGCTGATTGGGCTTCTAGTGTTGCTGCTGATGTGGCGCAACTTTCCTAAATTGCGTTTTGACCTCCAGTTTTTTATTTTCTTTTCAAAAACACCCCCAAAATCCAAATTTTCACTTTTTTTTTTCAAAATCAATTTCAGTTAAATCCCAAAAATAATTTTACCATATTTTATCATTATTATTATTTTTATTTTCATTAAATTAAATTAAAATCTTATAAATTAAATATTAAAAAATTAAACTAAAATTCTAATATATATAAAAATAATAAGAAAAAAATAAAAATAATAAATTGGGTGTTACAACTCCCCCCCCCCCCTTAAAGAAATTTGGTTCCCCAAATTTGTCTCTTACTCTTGGTCGAACAAATGGGGATACTGGGCTCTAAAATCTTATTCTAGGTCCTAGGTAGCCTCCCTGGGCGTGTGGTTCTGCCACACGACCTTTACAAATGATATTTCTCGGTTGCGGAGTATCCTGCTCTTTCGGTCCGTGATACCGACTGGTACTTCTTCATAATATAAGTCCTCTTGGAGTGGAAGCGGTTCATGAGCCAAGACATGAGAGGGGTCCAGGTTGTACTTACGTAGCATGGATACGTGGAACACATTGTGGACCTTGGAGAGCTCTGGAGGCAGTGCTAGTCTGTATGCGACAGTACCAATCTTGTCTAAGATTTCAAAATGCCCAATAAATCGGAGGTTCAGTTTTCCCCTCCTACCGAACCTACTAATTACCTTGAAAGGAGTGACCTTAAGAAACACCTGGTCACCTTTCTCAAACGCTAGATCTCTCCTCTGGGTATCTGCATAACTCTTTTGCCTACTCTAAGCTGTCTGAATGTTCTTTCTGATTTTAACTATTTTAGATGTGGTCTCATCTACCAACTCAGGGCCGAACAATCTTCTATCGCCTACTTCTTCCCAACAAATCGGTGATCTGCATGGGCACCCATATAACGCCTCATATGGAGCCATGCCGATGCTCACTTGGTAGTTGTTGTTGTAGGCAAACTCTATCAAGGGTAGATGGTCATCCCAATGGCCCCCGGAGTTAAAGACACATGCTCGGAGCATATCCTCAAGTGTACGAGTTGTCCTTTTTAATTGTCCATCAGTATGAGGATGGAAGGCAGTACTGAGAGACAGCTTTGTTCCCATGGCTTGCTGAAAGCTACTCCAAAACCGAGAAGTAAACCTGTGGTCCCTGTCGGATACCACTGTCACTAGAACTCCATGCAATCTGACTATTTCTCGGATGTACATTCTTGCCAACTTGTCCAAGGGGTCGGTCATCTTGATGGCTAAGAAGTGGGAAGATTTGGTAAGTCGGTCAACAATTACCCAGATGGTGTCATGTCTTGAACGTGCCTTGGGTAGTCCCGATACGAAGTCCGTGGTGATGTGTTCCCACTTCCACTCTAGGATCGATAAAGGCTGAAGTAGCCCACCCGGGTGCTGATGCTCTATCTTGACCTACTGACATACCAAGCATTTGGATATAAAGTCGGCTATGTCTCTCGTCATCCCATTCCACCAAAACCGGGGTCGCATGCTTTGGTACATTTTGGTGCTTCTAGGATGCATGGCAAACTTCGAGCTGTGGGACTCTGTCATAATATCTCTCTTTAACTCACTGTCATTTAGAACACACACTCTGTCTTGGAACCGGGGTAACCCATCGGCAGATACTCGAAATTCTAAGCTCGCTCCTTGTTCTGTATCAATTCTGCAGGCTACTAGGGCGGGGTCAACTGATTGGGCTTCTCTTATTCTTTGGATTAACTCGGGCTGGACTGTCAGGTCGCCCAAACATGTGACTCTCTTCAGATCCTGAGGTCGAACCTGTTGTGTGGCCCCAATTTGCCTGCATTCTGAAACCATCAAATGGGCTAAGATACCTGCACTTTTCCTGC